TAAGATAATACCACTAATTACATTGGAATACCATTTTTGAAAATATGGTCTAGAATACGGTTTTATAAACATAAATAAAGAAGAAACTAAAAAAGCTTTAACTAGATAAGTTAACAATCTTATTAATAAACAATTTTCTTTAATTGCAGACTTTGACTACAGCCTTCAAGCAACATGACACCGACATGGATGGAGTCATAACAATCCACTACGAACAGTTTTTAAGCATGGTCTTTTCACTTAAAATTTAATAATCAGATGTCAAAATTTTATATTATACAAAATGGAACTTTATAATATGTAAACAAATATGTAAATAGCCTGGATTATCTACTTTTTAAAAAGCCAAAATTTGTGAACTTGTTATCCAATCCTTAAACTATAAATTTAAATAATTAATTTCGTAAGCAACCTTGTTAGACATTTAAGCTTATATGAATTATATTTGATATAATACTAAAATTACAAATTTTTATTTCTTTACATGAATCTTACAAATGAATTGTTATTAAATATTTTTAATGCAACAGGATAGTGAAATTATCCTGAAATTAAATAAAATCTGAATAATTATATGTTAGAACTGCAGAACCGTCTCAATGCAGTATCTGAAATTGTATTCAAAATTTCAACTCTTATTTTTAGACGCTAATTGTCTTATGAATATTCAGTTTTATGATTCATTGATTATTTATTGATTTTATACTTAAATGTAATTTATTTACTAAATTTAAATTACATGTATTTGTTTATATCTCGATCTCCTCGAAACCTATTCTCCACATTCGCACATTGATTGAGCTGAAATCATACAAATATTTTATATTGTGTCGATATCGATAAAGTAATGTAAACTTTTGCAATTGAACCGATGACTTGTAGTATTCTTGTTCAGAGGTTGCTTTGGAAGACAGACAAGGCAGCTTTAATATTGATGCTGGTTACTCGGATACAGATAGAGGGGTCGTGAATATAATATAATTTTTTATTTGATAAAAACACATTTTCATTACTTATAAGCAGTGGAATTAGTAAAAATAGGGTAGGCTCTACTATGTAGAATCGTTTCTTTGTTCGAGTAATTAAAGCCAATAAGGATATTTTTATTATTTATTGAAATTTAATAACTAATATATACTATTTATCATGTTCTAGGGTATCAGATTAATGATAATTTCGGGCTCTAACTTCTTACTGCAATCTGTTTTGACGATATATATCGATATACATATGTACAGTGATATTATTTCTTACAATTTGCAACCGGCAGAACAGTGTGCGTAGAAACGTGTCATGAAAAACGTGTTTCAATGCCAGACATTTCATGAACTAGTTCAGTTCTAATGATTCTTTACCCATCTCATTTTGTTACAGTTAATTACTTTGTTTCGTCTGTAAAGAATGAAAAAAGTATATTGTCGGCATTCGTATAAGCAGAAATAAATTTGTTCTTTTAAGCAGGCCGCGATTATTAAGTAAATTTTTTAAATTGTGTAATTTAAGAGTGCATTACCTTAATAAAATATTTCAAAGCAAAGCAAAAATGTCTGAACTTCAATCATCATTGCTATTGAAAAAACAATTGGCAGGTATGTTACACATGTCTAACTATGAGCGTATGTAAGGAGTTATGCATGTACATATTATACATAAGGAAGAACAGCAGGAATTGTAGCGCCATTTACAGGTATATGTACTTACGTATGTACATATGTATACGCACACATGACACGCTTTACATACATAGATATATTCATACATACTTATGCACATAAAGCATTCATTTAATTGGACCACATTTCGTTGTCAACTAATTAATAGAAAAAAGTCCATAAACGTACAAATATTTATGTATGCATATATAGTTGAGTATTTTAATGTATGTATGTATATACCCGTTGGCATGTATAGCGCAAATATATGTATATATATATAGGATGCATATATAATTAACATATAATATCTATATATACGTATATATGTAAATATGCATGCAAAGCGTTTTAACCAAATCATCTCTGTTATCACCCTTTTTTATTGTCTCTTGTCTCTTTGTTATTATTGGTGGTGAAGACTATTGAATCACCACAATGACTATTTGTGTATGTATGTATGTGCGTATACATACATACATATGTATGTACATCAGTTGGCATGTATTTATATACATATGTATAAGTAGCTTGGTAAATAGACAATTTGATGAATGCTGTAAATAAAATTCACAAAAAATAATGGATTTGAAAGTTATATACATATATACAAACATATATTTAAGAATAAAATATCTTTCTCTGCAGTGAATACCCAAACATAAACATATATTCTATAATAAAATATGTTAGTAATAATATATATAAATATATTTAATTAATAAATTAATATCTACTTGTTTCAAAAAAGTAAAGAAGAGTCCACGATATATTTTTATTTATTCATTCATGATATCCTAAATTTTGGCTATATCCAAGAATGTTAATATATGTACATGGATGATTATTAATTTAAATTCATTCACATCCGCTTTCAAAGAATATTCAAGATTTGTTGAGTCGTTTACGAACTCTTCAAGTCTCAATTTTTATCTTGATTGCTTATCGATATTAAGATCTGAATCGATAATTTAATATCCGAGTGATGTACGGTACAAACTAAGTTCACGACTTAAAAATTGTCCCAGGAGCTGGGTTCATTCCTGGTGCACATATCGGCCTATTGTTTGTTGACAATGATATATTCGTTTCAGAAATTTGAGATTTTTTAGATACTGACATTAACATCATATCAAGGAGTCTCAGTCAACGAAATTTAGCAAGTCACTGCATTTATAATGTATACTATACTCTTAAGCAATATATGTATATCTATGTAATATTTCTTAGCTCAGATATAAAAACAGCCTTAGCAGAGAGAATAAGAAGATGGTGATAAGTCATTTATGTGGTTGGCGTAAAACAAAGGAATTATCATCAATATATACTTATTAAGACAATAGAAAATTAGTTTTGTTGAAATTTATTAAATTATCAGAGAA